TTGACGCTGAAGGTCTCTAAGCAACAGAGAGCCACGAGATTTATGAATAACATGCAGCCCTGCAGGCAGCAGTCGAGCGTGTAATCTCCCCTTTCTTCCACTGTCACATTAGTTACTGCCTATATTCTCTAAAGCTATTAAAAACACCAGAGGGTCGATTAACTGTTACAGGTTGGAAGCATAAAACTGAAACATCCGTAAGTTTAAAAACAATTATTTTCTTAAATTTTGATTTGCAGTCTGAAAAAAGACATAGAGTGATGGTTTCATCCAGTTTGTGATACTGTTGATTTGGGTTTTGATTTTGATAAATATTACCAATCATGACACTAAAGGTGTGAACAAACTTATCACTTCCTTTAGCCACAGCCTAAGCTCAATTAAAAATAACTTAGACTTTAATTTAGTGGAATTAGCTGTAGCATTGGGCCTACTGAGAATTAAAAACCGGCTCTGTAGCTTTACTAATAAAAGAAGGCTTTGAATTAATGCGTAATTTGCTTGCAAATGATCAATGAACTGCAGCCACGTGCACGACTCCATACGGCTCATGTTTATGCTGCTTTATCCTTCCACGCCTGTTGTCCTGTCTGCTCTACATTTCAGAGGGAAATATAAGAAGCTTTTAAAATACACGTAGTTAAAGATTGAGGCTTTGTTTTTCGACCTTTATAGCTTTTTACAAAAATCAGTGTGTAGTTGGCTCACTTTTCAGATATGTACTATATAAGGTGTTAATAGTCGAAACAAATTAAACTTCTCACATGGTTTTATTTCAACAAGTAAATGCACAAATTGTCCAATATTGCATCAGAAATTTAATATGGGAGAAAAACCTAAAAACAGACTTGTGTATCAGAACTTTGTTTTTTTTCTTCTTTCCTCCTCAGTCCTCAGATTTATCTTATGTTTCTGTATTTAAAACTGGATATAAAGTAGATCAAACATAATATATCAGTCAGAAGGACCAAACTAGGAACAAAAATATAAATGCAACATGCAAATAGTCTTCTTTTCTGACTGAAGGTAAAAATATAATTTCTGATTTTAAAACTGTTTAACTGGTGACAAATTCTCAACCAATAAGTCAACGCAGACTTCAAAGTCAGTTATGACACATGACCAGAACGCAGACGCTCCTTTGACCAGCGACTATAAAAGAACACCTTGAAATGCAGCTTTATTCAAATGACACAACGTCACAGATGACAAGTGGAAGAGGAGAAAGGGCTCTTAATGGTTCCTGTCAGTTTGGGCCGTAGCCAGGCACTTGAATATCCACAACTCCAGCGTTTATCGTCTGAGAAATAGTTTCAGACGGCTCTGGATGTCCATCAACGTGATCCTGTCCTACAAAATGTCCACCAACCTTACCAAGCCCTTCAGTAAGAGCGGGACGACGACATTACACAAGCAGCATGGACAACCTCATTAATTATCCGTTGCAGATGAAGCAAATGGTGGACAAACCGGCCTGATCTCTGGTTGGAACAACAAATACTCATTAAAAAGAAAAGGTAGAATTGAACAAAATATCCGATGCTGCATTTATTATTTTGTTTACTTTAAATCCACAGAAGACACTGCAGCAAGTTTTCCAATATGCAGCACATTCAACCTGTCAAAGGACGTTGAAAAATTGTGCAAGTGGAGAACTGGTTTTGTTTTAAGGTCAAACGGTGCTCACAGCCATTACTGACATAATCTAAATCCTTCGGGAGTCCTTGACCCTTGGAAATAATAAACGTCACATCCAAATCATGTTTACTGCAAAATGCCTCACTGATGCATCTTTTATGTTATTTAGCTTCTTTTAGTGCAACTAGTCAGTATAATGTGAAATACAAATACAAATTAAATCACATCTATGACCATATAAACATGCGGTTTAGCTTCTCTCAGTGGTTCGAGTTCACTTGATCGTGTTTATGTTTCCAATAAGCTGATACTCTGCCTACTATATATTATAGACTTGCTGAAAGCAACACGTTCATGTGTGGTCTCAGTGTATCTGTAGACACATACGATTCCATTCCTGAAGATCATGAGAGTCACGTGTCTCAGTGTCAATGTCTCCTGCTTCGTCGTACATGGACATATATCAGGCTCCATGCTGATAGGCCTCCCATGATTCACCAGTGTTAATGTTGACAGTGAATTTGTTCAAACTGAGCTGCGCTGGTGGTTTTAGGTTCCACTGAGGAGCTGGACGGTTTAAAAGGAAAACATTTCAGGAGATGTTTAATTGCAGCTCATCAAGTTACTCGGCCGATATCACGTGAAAAACACACAGACTGATCACCGGCTTCTCTCTCAGTTTTAGCTCTGCCCCCATCTGACATGGCCGGATCTCTTTACGGCTCATTTCATTCCGACTCTCCTCTTTCTCTCAGCTGTTGTTATCACCTTATCCCTCACGGTATTCAGCGAGACAGCAGAAGACTGGAAACAGTCCTGGAGCAGGACGAGGCGACTCCTTCTGAGAAAGGCCTGGCCGCTGATTGGACGAGGGCAGAGGGCACTAAAGTGTTGAAGCTCAACACTGAGCCTCCCAAAATAAGAGGATCTTCCTCCCAGTCGGACATGCGGACTAAAAACAGCCGGACTGGCACAAGGATGAGGAGAGGCGATGTTGACACAGGGATTTTGGGGACATTCTGTTTTCAAAGCCATGTTGTTGTGAGGCTGTGATCTTCCTCTCTGACTCATACTTATAAATACACAGATAGGTGTTCACATTAGCTCCCGCCAAAAATGGCCAGAGGCACGGTCACTGGCAGACAGGTAGTCGCCTCTCGTTTTAATTTGTCTGCTAGTTGTTAAGCTGCTCTCCTCCTCGTTTCCACGTAGTTTGCTGTTGTAGGGTTTTAAATTTTAAGCCAGCAGCATGAACACCAGTTGAAATGTTAATGTAGATGGCAAATTTAGCCATTTCTTTAGGTTTTTTTGATTAGAGAATCTCTGGATGTTGCTGAAGCACCAGCATCCCAGGCCAAAACAAACCACTTCTTCCTCTACCTCCACTTTTGTTGACAGCCAGAGAGGTTGAGACCACAAAGGCCAGCAAAATATAATCCAGACACAACTATTAGCTTCTGCTAGGATTGTAAAATACACGGAAGGGCTGTAATGAGTTCGTGACATTTTCTGCTATTTTTTTCTTTACTTCTTCTGTCTTTGTTTTACTTCAGTTGTGTTGGACTCGTGTGGAAACAGACGCACAAAGACCTGAGCAGTGACAGACATTAACAGAAAAAGAGTAGTGAAGGAGAGCAGCAAAACAGCAGCAGAGACTCTAACACTGTAAAAGAAAATTAAGAATCAGTTAAAAAAAAAAAAAAAAAAAAGTGTGGATCTGTGGGCGTGAGTTTTCCAAAACATGTGTTTAAAGAAAAATCCTTGGAAAGTTTTAAATTTTTGAAATTGTTCAAAAATTATTGGCAATTTTTTTTTAAATATTTTTTTTTTGTTGTTTTAAGGAGTTACCAATTGTTTTATTTTTCCTTTTAATTTTTGCCTTTTTTTAAAATTGGTTTTTTGTTTTGGCCTTTGGGTTTTTTTTTTTTTTTTTTTTTGCATTTACCTTTTAATTGATTCTTTTTTTTTGTTTAACCCCTTTTAAAAATGATTTTAGACAGTGAATACTGAACTAAAATCAAATAAGTTTACATAAATTAAGTAATAGGGCTTGGTGATATAGCTGAAAAGTCTGTCATGATAGCATGTTTTCCCTTTGAGCAGGCCACCAGCAGTGTACTGTTTAGGTATTGGTGGTGGGGGACGACACGGGGTCATAGCTGATTCTGGACTGCAAAGTCCAACTCACAGGACATCCACCAGTGGAGGTCTGTGGCATGATGCAGGAAGGAAGCAAGCCCGGGCTTCATTCATAACACTGAACTTTTGTTTGTTGCATCTAATGTATTTCAATTGCATATTTTCTTTATGCTATGAAGTGTCTATTCCTGGCAGCTGTCATTTTTCTGGTAAGAAACATTCATAATTAAAAAGCTTAGTTTTTATGTTCTTTACAGTTTAGGGGCTGGCTAAATGCTGCACTTTTACTTTTTCTCTGGTGCATATGTGTGCATTTTTATAAGCGAGGGCCACCAGTTTCAGTGTGAGGGACTCAGATGCACGCACATGCACAAAGAACAGAGAACTCAAATTACAACATGCTAAAAGGTCGGCACATCCTAAAGTTGTCTGCCACTATGTGGTAATGCTATAATTACATACTTGTTTAAAATCTTGCATATTGAATCTATAACTGTAGCGCTCTTTTCTGTAACTAGACTAATGAATCAACACAAATTCTGTGTGGACAAAGCTTTCATCAAGTCTAACTAAATTGACTATTACAAAAAAAACAAACATAACGTGCAACAAAGAAAGTAGCACAGACACAGACCCGTTTTGTAAAGTGTCAATCCCAGTGATTCCAACACCATCCAGCCTCTAGAATAAAGACAACAATAGCCCTTGAGAACAGGGAGCGTGTCTCTAAACATTTACATGAAATGTAATGAGGCATTTGGAGGGATAACCTTAAATTCCCTCTGTGTGTGCAGTTTATTTAAGCAGTATTTACTGAATAAACTGTCACAACAGTTGACACTTGTTGGGGGAACAGCAGCAGCTGCTCTAATCCCACTGGGGTAAACCCCAGACTGTATTATAAAGGATTAAAGTGCTGAATGGAGGCTTTCCAGTTCAAATGTGGCGAGCTGACGCAGAGGCAAGTCTGGTTTCCCCCATTAGTGAGAGAAAGCAGGAAGAAACACATTTAGGAGTCCTGAATCGCAGCTGCATTCCCAATCAGATTACAGTTCAGTTATCAAACTAAAGCTGAGATTAAACACTGTTTAGGCAACACAACATTTCACAAGATTTGATTTTTCTTTCAATCCTGAGTACTTCTTTAAAAAAAAAAAAAAATCCAAACCTGAGAAAGCAGGACATGATGCTGAGACCTGATTGTTTACAAACCTTCAAAAAAGTCAGGTCAAGTAATAAATACTTTATTTTCACATTACAAATGCAGTCATCAGCAGGACACAATATCTCCTCTGTACTGTACAGGTTTAATATGTGAGTGACAAACATTTATCCTCATTAAATAGCGTTATGTACAGCAATTAAAACTGTTACTTTTGTTCAGTAATGTTAACAAAAACAATCATAAAAAAAATCCTGTTGATCATCGGCCGCCTCCATTAGCTGCTCCGCCGCCGGCTCCTCCTCCGGACTGATCCTGAGCGCCGGACATCATCAAGAAGAGAACCAGAGGGACGATGTACATCCACTGAAAGGAAAAGATCGAGAAGAAAAAGGGAAGTCAATACAACAATTCCTGTGTTTTCAGGGTAACAAATTAACGGTGATCATTGACAAGAGTTCCACATTGGACATCCCAGATTAGGTTCAGTTTATGTTCTGAACAAAAGAGAAGAAAAGGTAAAGTGCACAGGTGGGTGAGAGGCTGCAGAGTAAAGATCTCAGGGTCAAACACCAAACACATGTTAAACGTATTCACACCGACTGTTCAGAATGAGCAAATAATAAACATCGCAGTTTGACATGCAGGCTTCTTAACAGACGGACTTTTGATTGAAGAAAATTTGATCTCCGTGTTTATCAGCCTTTAATGTATTTGGTATTGACCTTGAAAAGACCGTGAATGAGTGGAAATGAAAGAACAAGTGGAAAGCGAGGAGGTGGGGATCAGTTAGTGACTCTGCTTAGATGTTAAATCCAAAGTTTGACAGACAGAGGAGGGAGGGGGACAGAACGAGCCACAAGTAAGAAGACTGTACTTCAGTGGGAATCAGCTCTGCTCTCTGCCTCCCCCTGCTGGGGGCTGGGCCGAATTGGAGACCATGAGGAAGATTGCACCTCCCAGAATCAAATACCACTGCAACACAGCACAGCACCAAGTCAACACACTGTCACTGGATGCAGCACAGCACAGAGTCAACACAGTCACTGCACACAGCAAGTAACAGGGCAACACAAGACAGGTAGATCATGAACGAGTTCAGATAAGCCATGCCACGGGACACAGGACCGGGCGCTCTGTGAAAATGCTTTTAAATGTGTAGTTATACACCTAATGACAGCTTGTAACGTCAAAACTATTTACTACTTACTATTTGGTTTCAAAAAATGACTTGTTTTTGTGCTACTTGTGTTTAAAATGTCACTTCTTGGCAAGATGAGGATTGGATGATGAGTCCTATTATCAGCTAAAGACATCACACATGGCAGCACAGAGCTGAGGCTCAAACCATGACAAAGACTCAGGGTGCTTTTACACCTAATCTGTTTGGTTCAGGTAACCCTCTGGACCCCAAAACCTGCCAGCAGGTTTGACAGGTTTTTTAAAGAAACAGAAAAAGAAAAAGGTAGATTTTGAAGTTTCTGAAGGTCCTTGAACTGCTGATCTGTGATGGGTCATTGTATCAACAAACCACAATAAGCGTAAATAGTGGTATTCCACCATTTATTGCAAACATGTAAAATGTGCAAAAAATTAGGCATTTGTATTTGCCAAATTCTGTAAAAAAAAAAAACAATTCTGCCATCCTCAGTGCAACTGTGAAGCCGTTAGTGCCTCAGCTGTGACTAACAGCGACGTGACAGAAATTCAGTGACTTTCAGGCTGAAGTGTGATGAACTGCAGGCAGTGTTTAGATAGAGCAGAAAGGGAACAAGTAAGGAAACAAATGTAAAATGTAAGTAGTAAAACATTTATAGCATTTAGTCATTCTTGTTTTCCAGAGAGGTGGGGGGAAATCTTTCACAGAAAAGTTACTTTCAATCTTCTCTCATAGTTTGTCTTACCGTATCTGTGAAAGAAAGGTGCTGGCACTTCTTGCACTTACAATTTTGTTCATTTCACTCGTGTTTAATTTAATGAATATAGAAGATTACCTTAGCTTGTACAAACAGAAAGTGTAGTTATAGTTAGTATAAGTTAGAAGGTCTTCTTGCCACAATTAGGAATTATGAATCTGAAAAAGTAACACTGGGGGCTTGTTGAAAATCTGGTCTCTTAAAGAACTTGAGCATCTGCTGCACACCAATAACAAGTGTTGATTGGCAGGTTATTCCTGCTGCCAGCTTACCTTTCTGTTTGACATCAAACCAGCTGTCGGTTTTCATTATTTTCTTTTTGGTAGTGCATAGAACTCTCACTGTTGTTTCTATACTCATTCCAACATGTCGCCTGAATGCTTTTTATATTGACTCAGCCTAAGACCTTTCACAGAAACACATAGGAGCTGTGCCTAAGTTATTCTAAAGCAGGGAAAACTCTGTTAACATAAACTCGAGCAGAACTAAAAGTTAATGGTCCTTCGTCTAAACCAAACTACAGGTGTTAAAGCACCCTTAAACAGTGGAGTGACTCCAAACAGAATCCAACAGGGAGAGCAAACACACAGAGCAATACAAGAAAAAAAACAAAAAACACTGTGGTACTGATGTGCCGACTCTATCTTAAAACAAGCTGCACACATACAAAAAGTCATGGTGGGTCTGATAAAGCACAAAAAATGATGCGGGTATTTTAATTCATTGATTCATTAGCTTTACAGGAAATTACAATCATCACAGCCCCATTACTGAAGGCAGAGGATATATCTTTAGGCACAGCCTGCTAGCCTTATCAGCAGTTTTCAGTGTAAGTACTTACATATTTAGCAAAGAAGGATTTCTGCTCTTGTGGATTCTTCCCTTTCTTCTCAGATTCCTGTTCCATTCGTTCGAGGAACAGAGCGGTCTCAGGTCTGCATAGAAGTTGACAATTAGTATTCAAACAAACTCTAAAACAGAATGTGTATCTGAAAAGCACAAAAGGTGCAGAGAGACTTGCTCCTCCTATGGGCAAACGATTTGAAGCTGCTGAGCTGAGGCAAATACAGCCAAATCAAAGGCATTTGAAGAAGCTACACTCAGACACACAAGAGGATTTGACTAATGCACAGACAGCTTCAGATATGTGTGCACAGTGCATATTGAACAAGTAGTTTAGACAAGAAGAGAGAAAAATCAAAGTGAGAATTACATAAAGCTTCAGGAAGCAAGTGTGGAAAACAGTGAACAGATAATGTCAGACTGACCCCGGTGCATTGACAGGAGCCATGATGCTGAGCGTGGTATTGAAAACCTCAAGATCAACTTCATCCTCGACCTCAGTGCCTCTACAGGCTCCAGGTAACGTCACTATGGAGACACCGATGAGGTATCCAGAGACGTCGGTGTGGATTGTGATCACATCGCTCAGATGGGATTCAACCATGGCACACTGAGCAGCAAAGGAGAATACAGGCTCATATTAGCATTAAAAAATATTAATATGTCAGTCTAACTCATGTCTGTAACTTCAAACCCAATTAATTGGTTAGAAAAATGTACACACTGGCTCTGAGAGGCTGCGTGTCTAATCTCACACTGCATAAATATTTCAAATTTTCAAAGACTAAAAAAAACGTTTGTGGCAGGATCAACAATCAGTGTTATCACTCAATCAAACTCGACTCAAATTCAGCAAAGAAGACATTATTTGGTTTACTAGAGGAAATCATTGAAATGATTAGTCTGGTTAAGTAGTAGTACAAGTAGTACATTATTACAAAGAGCACCAACCACTTCTCGTAGTATTACTGAACACTTTAAAGTGGTTGTTTTAAGTGTAATTGCTGGTGAAGATCAGTGAAATACATACAGCTCTGACGAATGCTGTGAGGTAACCTTCCATCTGCCGCTCCGTCTGTCTGTCTGCCTGCAGGAAAACACGAGGCACTCTGATCCTGTACAGCCCGTCCACTGCGGCCACTTCCTGCAGAGACATCCATGTTCAAAGCAAACATGTTAGAGATGCAACCTCATGCTGTGATATATTGATCACACTCCGTTTACACAACTTCTACCAATGACTCAATATTCCTGGTGTATTACTCAAACAGCTTGTCAGTTTTCTTTTCAAATTTGGAAGAAACTCTTTGCAGTGGTCTTTTAGTCTTCTTGTGGCAAAATGTGTCCACAAAGAGAGAAACATTTATTTGAAATATGGCTGCACAATACATAGTTTCAGCATCGACACTGCTATAAGCGCAATAGAACTAAGGCACGTTAACTCAGATATATCATGTTACAACTGTTTTTGGTGCTTGGTACAAAAGAAAACTGTTGGAGTTCTCATTTTCAAAGACTAATCTACAACAGAGGTCTGTCTGATAGAACACAATTTACTCTGAAAAGGGTCTTTGGATACTCTAAAAGTTTTAAACTTTGTTTACAAGACTCAAGAGTTTGTTGACCACAGGCCCACATGAAGGCTGCATGTCATGCAACATTGAGTGCGTGAAAATATTTTGGCGACAGAAAGGAACATGTTGACTAAAACACATACTCTGTCAAAGCTAGACCTGAAAGTCATCCAAGACAAAGACATTTTTAAATGACTTTGCCAATGTTACACTAAATGAGAGAGAAAGGTTCCAATCATATATATATATATATATCACAAAAACCCAAATGTTAAAAATCCTTGTTGTGTAGGCAGCTTTAGTACATCAGTCGACATCCTTTCAAGCTGATGATCACAGCTCACCTTCAGTTTAGTTCTATCCTCCTCTGAGAGCTGATTCTGAGATAGTGAGACACTCGGCTCCCTTCCAGCTTTCAACACCAGGGCTCCACGCACTCGAAACTTGGCTACATCATCTGAAACAAGAAAGACAGTAAGAACAGAGTCAAGTCAAGTCATTGTCATTTATATAAATATGCAGTACATTTAAAACTACAGCCATAGAGCCAAAGTGCTTTCCAACAGAGAAGTAAGACTGATATATCAAATTTACCTAACAAGTTTAAATATTGGGGTTAAGACCCTACAGTATTATTATGTAAATTTACTCAAGTAATTTAAACCGACAGGAAGAATGAATGATTAAATTTCTTTAGAGCGAACACTACAGCTACACATTTATGTTTTTCAGAGAAAACCCAGCAAGAAGAGCATGTCAGACAAATTACTTAAAAAGCCACTTAGAAAAAAGGAGTGGTTGGAGACTATTTGGTATTCTTCAATATGCTGCTGTACACATGAATGCAGTTGCATGTTACTGTACATGCCGGGTATGGCTGAAGGATTTGGGAAAAATATCCAATTGCAATTTCTCTGGCAGATATCGCAATAGATTTAAAACCACATTAAACCGTATACACTATATTACATTTTTGATGCAGAGATGAGAACTAAAAGATATAAAAATGCTTCCAACATGTATCTATTTTTAAAAAAAAAGAAAAAAAAAGCATTGTATTTAGAACAATTACCGCAAAAGCTGTGATTCTGTTAAGTTAGACAAATGAAGTCATAACACTGAAAAACAGAAATGAACTAAAATAGGTAAATCATGAATGGCTGGGGAGCAGCATCTGAGTATTGCACAGTCTGCTATTAAAGGAATAAAAAAAATAAATAAACTGTCAGACACGCTGCATTATGTGCATCGTAAATTGCAGCCTTTGGCATTTGCTAATTGCATAGTTTCAATTTTTGCTTCTAATTTCAAATCTGTTAATTGATCAGCATTAATGCCGGCTTTTATATAGCAACTCGACAGCTCTTGAAACACTTAAATGCATGTTGTACCTGCTAACTTATCGATACGTTTATAAAAATGCACTTAATTGACAGATTTTTGAATGGAGTTTGGGGTGCAGGTCTCTCCATTCGGATGTGGCGTTAACGCTTGCAGTATACGACTACTCATTTAGCTTACCAGCATTAGCAATAACGTTTTTTACAACATTATAATGGCAGAATAATCTTAACAGTCGCTCACCGACTTCAAATGAGTGTTCAAGAGGCACAGAGAAACCGCTGAACTCAGTCTCCAAGGTATCACCGACCTGAGAGTAAAAATGAAATGTTAGTCGTTCGCTGCTCACACATGCTAATGCTAATCACGTAGCTTCCGCTTTGCTCCATTTAAAATGATGAGGTTTAAATACTAACATTTGTCACTTACCCTTCTCCCGTTATTACAACATACAAAATCTGTGCATACGACAAATAAAACAGCACAAACAAGAGCAACTTTGAATGGTGGTAGACGAGCCATTTTGACAGGAACGACAGTCAAGTGTACTAGCACAACATCAGCACTTCCGGAGTTCTTCTTCTGCTGATGAATTTCCAGCAGGACGTGCACAGCAGAGAGTGGCGCTGCCCTCTACAGGCGAACAGCAGTTGCTGCTTCCATTTCGAGTACAGGTCACTTGAGTCAAGAGTCATTCCAACATAGTCCACTCTCATAATAACACTCTCACTACACTAATACTACCCATCCATTGTCTATACACCACTTAATCCTCACTAGGGTTGTGGGGGGGCTGGAGTCTATCCCAGCTGACATAGGGTGAAGGCAGGGGACACCCTGGACAGGTCATCAGTCTATCGCAGGGCTACACAGAGAGACAGACAACCAAGCACACTCACATTCACACCTATGGACAATTTAGAATCACCAGTTAACCTCAGCATGTTTTTGGACTGTGTGGGAGGAAGCCGGAGAACCCGGAGAGAACCCACGCTGCACGGGAGAACAACAACTCCATGCAGTTTCCTCAACCGGCGACCTTCTTGCTGTGAGGCAACAGTGCTAACCACTGCTCCACCTTGCTGCCCCACTAATACTACATTTGTTTAATATTTTATTATGTTAGATTTTGTTTCACATGTAAATAACCCCTAAGAATTGTGCAATAGCAACTGTTGACTCAGGAACTTTACGGCCTCTGTTACGTTGTGTGCAAATGGTTTTATGGTTTGCTTAATGTTTTATAATATCATAATGTAATGTATGTCTTTTAAAAAATCTTTTATTTTTAGCTCTAATGCACTGAGAAAGCACTCAAAATCTCCCTGCATACTGAATACTATGACAAGGCTTTCTATCTCTTTTTCTATTTCATCTCAAATTTTTTTTAGAACAATTTCCGCTTGACCGTCCCTGATTTGTCTGACATTTTTCTACCACAAATGAACACACAACATCAGTGAAATTTTAATGTGATATATCAAATGCTTTCTGAGATAAACACCAAAAAAATTGCCCATCAACCCACTGTCTGCACTTTTTTTTTTAAATATGAGGCTATGTTTGAATGACAATATCTTAGGAACGATTAAAGATAAAATAAGTTAAATTGGATTTTTTAATCTACTTGTCTAAATGGGTGACAGATCTTTCAGCTATCAAAGTCCTCCGCTGTGGATTCGGCTCCCGGTCTTGGTTCAGGAGGCAGATGTTCTCTCTACTTGTAAGATCAGACTTAAACCTTTTCTTTTTGATAAGAATGGGCACACTTAGGGCGGCTCAGGTAACCCCGAACCATCCTTTAGTTATGCTGCTGTAGGCATAAACTGCTTGGGGACTTCCCATGATGCACTGAGCACCTCTCCTCTCTTCCTCCCAACATTCACTTGTATGCTGCCACTACATGTCACTGATGTTGTATCTTCTCTCTCGTGTAGTTTGCATTTTATCCTTTCCATGTATTCTCCAGAGGTACCTGTTTCTGATCTGCAGCTACTGGCCTCACCAGCCACCTGTTTATTGCTCTCATATGCTTCATTTGTGTGTTTTTCATCTGCTATCATGTTATCTCTCCCCTTTACCGTCACTCTAACCAGCTGAGGCAGATGTCCGTCCTCCCTGAGCCTGTTCTATCAGAGACTTCTTCCTATTAAAGGGGAGTTTTTATTCATCCCACTGTCACCAAAGTGCTCTTCAAAGGGAGTCTTTGCATTTGTTGGGTTTCTCTCTAACTTGTAAAGTCTTCACCTTACTTTGTAAAGTGCCCTGCAGTGGACTCATGCTGTGAATTGGCACCATATAAAAAAAAAAACTGAAGTGAATTCATCAACTTTCAAATATCTGGTAGAACAACAGTCTCAATGGAATATCATCCTTTTGTCATAGTTTTTCATCAGCCTATTTCTTTTAACAGATGGCTGCAGAGAGAAATAATGCCTTTGTTCCTCTCTCCACTCTTTCGCCACTGAAACTCCAATTTTTCCTTCCCAACACTTCAACACAACAATGCTCAAATCAACAGTTTCCCTTGACAGAGATTTGGTAGACAGATAGCCACAAAAAGCCTAGAAGACAGAATCCCCAATCCTACACAGGTTGAACAAAATCTCCTGTAGTATTTAGATTTCCATTCAATTGCTTCACTTTTGTTGGCTTCTCCTCCCTTAATGTGTTTCCTAAATTCTCTCTTTGTTATATCCGTTTAAACACTAGATGACATCTTTTACCACATTTTTAAGATTCCACTCTTCTCCCCACTCTTCTATTTACTTTTCACAGTTGACTCACACTTCTCAAAAACACTGGAAGCACCCAGTCAGGCAGAATCTGTACATCCAGCCCTTCACCAACACACCTCAAAGAATCAACCACTTTCAGTAGGTTCACAGCTTTAAACCCTCCAGCGACTTGGTCTTTTCATTTTGAAAATAAGTCTATATATCCAGACTTGGCCGATAGATCCACCCTCTCCAAGCCCTGATTTACCCCCCGACTTCCCCCCGTGAGGCTCTCACATCCAAAGACTTGATGTTTTCGGTTTTCATTTAGCATTTTTCGGGGGGGGTTTGATCTTACTTTAATCAATTATTAAATTTCCTTTGTGTACCTTTAAAATTTGATCCAAAAGATTAGCAAAAGGCGTCACAATATTTCTGACTTTCATCACACATGGCCTGTTTGTTTTAAGTTGACATCTGCCTTCATCACTCCCCATTCAATCCTGCCTGTGCTCAGATCCTTCTTGAAAATGATTGGTATCTTTCGTGACAAGAGAGATTCTACTCAACATATGCACAGACACACTCATGGACTTAATTTGCACCTTGTGGGCTATTTAAGTTATGTGCTGACCTACTTGCATGTGTGTTGTTTATGAATACCTCTCAATACGGTGTATATATCAACTTACTTTTCCGTTGTGTCTGTTTTTGAACATGCCGATGTTGTCATCAACTCTGCCGGCGCTGCTGCACAGGAACAGTATTTGGTCTTTGAATTAATATTTTTAGCATTTTGGTATTTACAGTAGTTTCCTTGTCTGTTGACAGAATGCAACTAATGAAGCAGGTCTGTACGTGCGCTGCTGTCTTGTAACGTGTCAGCAGCAATTTATTTTTCTCTGCAAATATAAACAGTTTTTCATTTCTATTCTGGGCTGTCAACATTTTAGCTTACTGTTGCTCCATATTCTGGTTAAAGCAAAGAAGGGTGAAACCGGATAGATAATTTAACATTCCATTTAGTGTTCTAATGTGATATTGTTGTTTTTGAGCACTTTAATAACTTGTGAAAAATTTGCGTAGGATTCATAGTTTAATATCAGTGGTTTAAAGCTCTGAACCCCAAAACCTCCAGGCCGCTTTGAAATGGGTACTATCTTAAAACAAAAAAAAAAAACAAACAAAAAAAACATTTATCATGGCCCGAAACTGTAAAATTTGCAAAAAAAAAACAACCCCAAAACAAAACAAAAAAAATCATTAAACTTTAAACTGTCTGACAGTCTTTAAAATACTCATCTGTGATGTGCCAAATGTTAAGCTAAAAATCCTAATACTTTCACAGAATAATTTATTTGATATAATTAATTTAAAGTGTCACCAAAAAATTTTCATTTCCTTCAACTGGATTCTGTTAAAAAAAAAAAAAAAAAAAAAAAATATCCTGCACTCCTTGGTGCAGCTATGTAGCTGTTAATCACTCAGCTGCAACTAACAGTCCCGTGACAAATATTCAGGGATATTTAGGCTGAACTGCAGGTTGTGTTTACAATGACATAAGAGACAAGCATAAAAACAGATTTAAAATGCAAGTTGTAAAATATAAATATAATGTAGAATGACTCTTTTTCCCCTGTTGGTAAAACTTGTGCACACTTGAAAAAAAATGTTCTACATGCTAACTCCAAGTTTCTTTTAGTTTTTGTAAAGTAAACAGTTGAAGAAATGTAACTTTTGTTGTTTCTTTTGCTTATAGCATTAAAACCATACTGGCTCTCTCTCTGTCTAGTCATGGTCGGGCTGTTTCCACAGAGCTGCAGGACTTTATATTGCAGTGAATAATGAGTCCACAGTGAGTAAATATGCAAATAAAAAAAACATCCAGACAATGCTTAGAGTTCAGCGGGTTTATATATACTCACTCAAACACAACACCCCGCTCCCTCATACAGATATATTGAACCGAACATGACATCTGAATGCATCTGTACATCTGCAAGCACTGACACATACATAGCCAGCAGAGGTTGCTAACACACCAGAAAAGACCCCTTCAACCTTCCTCTCACCCCCACCCCTCTACAAAACCTCCTAAAAGTGCCATTTTTATCTACTGAATAATAAATATTTATGTCCTGCGATGAAGAGGGTAATTCATGTTTTTAAATGCTTTAGTCAGCATTCTATGCCCTACCTTAGCCAGAGTTTTATTTACTTAAATGTCATTTTAAGGGCTAAATGTGCACTGAATCACACACACAGCGTACAGAGCTGCTACTGCACTGCTCCCAAGACCTACATTTGACTGTACATCAGCATGTATCTGCATGAAACTGGAGGGGACAGCTGTTCACATCTGGCATCAGAATGTGTCTCCAGTGACCTCTTGTGATCAGATTTTATTTCGATGCTAGAATTTCTTGTTTGTCTGTGGGAAACAGCAACTGCTTTTTTCTACAAGACTGGAGAAGAGCATTGCTGTGAATATGGGACGCCTTATGTCTCACTGTAAACCCTTGTCCATGTTGTTTAGCAATGCCACTTCTACTGTACACAAGACAGCCTGGGAAGCATGTGTTGTCTGGTGACTCTGATCATGAAATAACAATGCCGACGCTCTGAGCCCCTCCTTATTTCTTGACATTTCTTCAGTGTTGAATAAAGGCAAAAATGAAAAGAAAAAAAAAATACATTAAGGAGAGATTATGTGAATGTTTAGCATAATAATCAATTTTCTGCTTGTCATTGAGGGAATATATTTGAATGCACACTTGTTTTGTCCAAACTAAGCATTAATGATTTGATCTCAGGGTGTTCTTCAGGGCTCAGTCACACCTTGATGTGACAACATCAGGTGACATT